TACCATATCTTGTTCATCCACTTTGGAGGTATACGCCACTTCTCATCCTCGGTCACCTAATGTCGCGATACTTTCTCTTGCATAGACGGCCTCACACAACTTGACCACCTAAGGGACTGGAGGTGGGTTTGGGTGGGGTTAGGTGAGGGGCGGAGGAGGAGGAGAAGCGAGACTCGCAACTTCGCCCCAGCCACACGTCTCTTTTACCAGCCAGCTTACGCTTCCGCCAGCCATCTTGTGCGCACACCTTGTTTTCCAGGCTTTGCCGCAGCGTCCACCCCACCTCCATTGTCCTGCTTCACCTCCCTCTTACGTTACATGCCTCGTTGTCCCCTCCCCTTCCAGTTCCGGCGCCCCAGACCCACAGGGTGCGGCCCCCTCTACGCTCTTTGCTTCACCCAGCTCACAGGCCAGCCCCCAGTGCCAGCCTCAGACACTAGCAGCAGCTCGCATCAGCGAGCTACCAAAGTTTGCTCATCAACGTTGGCGGGGCACGTTATTTTGTTTTATCCTCTGTCACCTGAGGCCGCGACACTTCTCATGCATAGACGTCCTCACACAACTTGCCTGACCACCTAAAGGATTGGGGGTGGGTTCGGGCGGGGACTGGGATGCGAGGGGGGGCGGTGGTGGAGGAGAAGAGAGACTCGCAACTTTCGTGCCAGCCGCACGTCTCTTGTCCATACAGTGCAGCCCACTGGCCAGCCAAGATTCTGGCCAGCCACTAATCAATTGCCATCCAAACCCTGCTTGGTTCTTTCCTTGATTTACCGAGGCAGCAGGTACTAGTGAATTTTAAGCGGCCCAGCTTATACAGTCGGGGTCCTGAAGAAGGAACCCTTTTGGTTGGGGAGGGGCTCCGTGTTCATTAATTGTTTCACACCTCGCCTAAGGTTTCCCTTCAGTTTTCGGTGGGAAGTCGAACTTTAACTTACGAAACAAGGGGCCTCGTTCCTTATTTAGGGTTCCTTAGGTCAAGGCCTCGACTGTATCACAATACTTTTTATTTATCTGCGCACTTCGGTACCATTGCTGTTTCCCTGCCCTACCTGGCGGGCGCCTGCTCTTAGCGCCCTGCTGCGCCGCGCCTTTTTCTTCCCTCCTTCTTACACGCGGCGCCCGCCAGGCATTGCGCCAAGTCGGGCTTCTACATATTTTTCAGCTGCCAACCGCCACAGCTTGCAGTTTAGGCTGGCCTCATGTAAATTAGCCTGGCGAAGGACCCAACCATATGCAGTTGCGAGTACCGCAATTGTGGATATCTTATCCGGTGGCGCTCCCTATGGGGCCGAGAACCGTATGAGGGGTGTGCCGGACTCTGGCGGGGTACACAACGCAAAGGAATACGATAAGTCGAATTACGAGAGACTGAGCGCGGGTGAGTCAGAGCGCGAGTGAGTCTGAGTGTGAATGAGTCTGCGTGCGAACATATTTGCGTGGATGCGATCATGGCTACGCCTAGTGTAAATGTATATGAATGCGAATGGTTCAGGCATGCCTGTCCGAACACTCGTGACAATGAGCGTGGCCGCCGCAGGCAGCTTCCGCGGGAACCCCGACGGCAGCGCCCGCGCGCCGCGACGCCCATGTCGGCACGCCCCTCACGAGCATCGCACCCGCTTCCGTCCCTTCTTTTCCTCCCTCTTTGCCTGCGCACTCCAAAACATCAAGGCTGCGGGAACAGCGCAGCGTGGAGTCCCCGCGACGCGCGCAGGTCGCCTTGAAGGGGTCCCAGCGACGCGCGCGGGTCGTCCGCTGCGCGGAGCAAAGAGAGCTAGCTGGCTGGCTGACAGCGGGCAAGGCTCTGGTCGCCAGGCAGAGCGACGACGGGCGAGCGAGGCGCCGGGCAGGACGCAGCACGGAGTTCCCACGACGCGCGCTGGTCGCCCCGGGAGGGTCCCAGCGACGCGCGCGGGTCGCCCGCGGCGCGAGGCCAGACAAGTAGTTGGGCAGTCGAGAGAAGGCGCGGCTCGTGCGGGGCGCTCCTCAGGTCAGGCCTCGCGGATAAATTCGGTGAAGCCGAGCTCCCTGGCGAGGGCCGTCGCCTCCCTTCTGCACCGCTTCGTGCGCGCCGCAAACTGCTCCAGCTGCTTTCGCAAGCCCTCCGGCGGCCCTGCCAGGAAGAACTCGATGCGCGGCGCCCGCATGAGCAGGAGGTCCTCGTGGCGCGTGGCGCGCGAGAGCAGCACATAGAGCTCCAGCCACCAGTCGTCGTCCTCCTTCTTGCCGTTCCCGACCTCGTGGCGGCCGCAGTCCAGGATCACGCCTGGGCGACGTCGGCCAGGGGAGCAGCGCGCCGGACAGCCGACGGCCCAGGGCGAGAGTCCACAGGATCGAGGTATGGCTGCGGCTGATATGGGTCCACGAAACGTTTGAGGGGTGTGCCGAAATGGGAGTGGAACCGCATGCGGACCCTGCCACTGGGGCCTTTAGTTGGGCTCACTATGGAGCCACGGACCGTGTGAGGGGTATGCCGAAATGGGGGTGGAACCGCATGCGGACCCTGCCACTGGGGCCTTCGGTGGGGCTCAATATGGGTCCACGAAGCGTGTGAGGGGTGTGCCGAAATCGGGGTGGAACCGCATGCGGACCCTGCCACTGGGGCCTTCGGTGGAGCGCACTATGGGGCCACGGAACGTGTGAGAGGTGTGCCGGAGTGGGGGTGGAACCGCATGCGGACCCTGCCATTGGGGCCTTCGGTGGGGCGCACTATGGGGCCACGAAACGTGTGAGAGGTGTGCCGACATGAGGGTGGAACCGCATGCGGACCCTGCCACTGGGGCCTTCGGTGGGGCTCACTATGGGGCCACGGAACGTGTGAGGGGTGTGCCGAAGTGGGGGTGGAATTGCATGCGGACCCTGCCTGCCACTGGGGCCTTCGGTGGGGCTTAATATGGGTCCACGAAACGTGTGAGGGGTGTGCCGAAATGGCGGTAGAACCGCATGCGGACCCTGCCACTGGGGCCTTCGGTGGGGCTCACTATGGGGCCACGGAACGTGTGAGGGGTGTGCCGAAGTGGGGGTGGAACCGCATGCGGACCCTGCCACTGGGACCCTTCGGTGGGGCTCACTATGGGGCCACGGAGCGTGTGAGGGGTGTGCCGAAATGGAGGTGGAACCGCATGCGGACCCTGCCAGTGGGGCCTTCGGTGGGGCTCACCATGGGTCCACGAAGCGTGTGAAGGGTGTGCCGAAATCGGGTGGAACCGCATGCGGACCCTGCCACTGGGGCCTTCGGTGGGGCTCCCCAAAGCGGCTTCCTATGCAATACGCCATAACGACGATGATGGTGTTGATGACGATGACGATGGTGATGGTGATGATGACGGTGATGGCGACAATGGTTATTATGGCGGGCATGATACTGATGGGGATGATGCTGATGCTAATAATGCTGATGCTGATGATGAGAAGAGCAGGAGGGAGGGGGGCAGCGGGAGGAAGGTGGGAACGCGGGGCGCTGTCTCTTCAAAACGAGGACCCAACACCACAGGATGGTTGGGACAAAAGAAAAAAGAGGAGGAGGAGGAGGAGGAGGAGGGGAGGAGGAGGAGGAGGAAGAGCAGGAGGGGGAGGAGGAAGAGGAGGAGGAGGAAGAGGAGGAGGAGGAGGGCCACTGTAAGCCCGAGATTCATCAGCGATATTGCAATCCATCCTCCTCCCGAATTCATTCTTCATCGGCCCGCAGAAAGATTCATTTTCACTGAGTGGGTGGCCCGTTGGAAGAGAACCGCTTGAAAATCCAGAAGCGCACCGGAACACCTTTCCTGAGATCTCAACGCCGCGAATCAGCGTAATTGTTGCGCCTTGACGATCCTGAAACGGACCATCACACCATTCGTGGGGCTTCGACACCACGAATCATCGTGACCTGTTGCGCCCTGACAGTCGGACGCCGTGCCAGAACACCATGTTTGGGACGCTGCAGTTTTGCGGTGCTCGGTGCGCCTGCGCCCTCCTTCAGCGCCACTGTTTCTTGCCCTTTGCCTCCTGCAACCATATCCTGCTCGGGCTGGCGTTCCCCCGTTTTTCTCCCGACTCCGGTGTTCCCCTCTCTCTCTCCCCCGACTCCCCGATCAGAATCCCGATTCCCATCCCTATCCCGTTCCACGCCTTTCCTCGCGCTGTACTGCGTAGTGCGATGCTCGCGTTGCAGGCCAGGGGGCTCAGACGGTGAGCGCTGGCCACGTGAGGAAGGCGTGCTCGACATCCCGATCGATCCACTTGGCTTTCAGTGGTAGCGGGGCCAGTGACAACCCACTAGGTCCCAGGCTGAGATGGTTGGAGGAGATGATGATGATGCTGATCTGGGCGACGAGGGCAGGTTTTCAACTGGGCTTTCAGACGGCAACCATGAGAAACCTCGAGCGGCTGCAAACTCTTAAATCGAATGTACGCGCCGCTAAAAGCGAGAACCGCATTTTGAAACTGGCCGCCCTCCACCGGTGGAGATCTCGCAATGTTTTAAGACAAGTGCGCGCGGCGCTAAGGCGCGAGCCACGATTCGAAAGCAGACCGCCCTCCATCCGTGAAGTTCTTACACATGTTCACACGAGCACGCGCGGCGCTTAGGCGAGAGCCACATGTTGAAAGCGGCGCGCCTTCCACCCGCGGAAATCTTCCAATGTTTTAAGACGAATGCGCGCGGCGCTAAGGCGAGAGCCACATTTTGAAAACGGGCCGCGCTCCATCTGAGAAGCTGTTGCACATGTCAAGCTTCAAGAACAGGAGAGGAATTTTCAGGCGAAGCGCCTGGCCTCCCCTTTCGACGGGCCCTGGAGTGCGACAGAGATGAGTCATTTTCAAAAAAGAGCGATTGAGGAGGGAGGGGGAGTGGGAAGAACGGGAGTACGAGGACAATTCGGAAGGGGAGAAGGGATTGAAGGAGGAGGGAACTGGACGAGGGAGAAAGGAGAAGGAAAGAGAAGGGAGGAGGTGGTTTCCCATAAGCGATGGAGAGAGCCGAGTGCTTATTACATGGCGCTTGTGAGCCCAGCCAGGCCTCGGCGGAGAACAACCCGATGGACGCGGACGAAAGGCCACCTTTAGCTTCCGCCCGCCAAGACCGCTCTTCACTCCCCTCCCTCCCCAGTCCACGAGCCCCTTCCCCGTCCCCGTCCCCATGCCCACCCCCCCTCCTCATCTCCCCTCCATCTACGCCCTCACGCTGCCCCTCGTTTTTGTTCCCCTCCCTCTCCTCATCATCCTCCTCTTCCTCCTCCTCCTCCTTCTCCTCCTCCTTCTTCTTCTCCTCCTCCCTGCTCATCCTGCTCGCTCCTGCTCCCCACCCACTCTGACCCCTATGGTGCTTCCGCCTGCCCAGCCCCCCCTCTTCTCCGCTCCTGCCTCTGCTTCGCCACTTGCGCCGCCCCGGCCCTTTGCCTCACTGCCTCTGCGTCCCCTGCCCCCTCTCCCCAGATGGGAGCCACAGAGGGCACGCAGAGCGGGAGGAACGTCGGGCCTCCCAAAGGGAAGTCAGCGCACAAACCTGCCAGCCAGGGGCCTATCTTGCGTAGGCAGAGTGGGCATTCCAGGCTACGACATCACGCCCTGATGGACACACCATGATCGTCATCTTCATCACCACCATCATCTTCACCGGCAGCCGCAACAGCAACAGCATCGTAGTCAGCAACAGCAGCACCGTCAGCATCAGCATCACCGTCTGCTCTGGATCAAGGCAACCTAGTTTCTG